ACGTTCAATATTGGACAAATTCATACAACTTAATAAACATGTTACATACATGCAGTATAGCAGCTTTTATGAACTCGGAGTAATTGAATCTGGTGGTTATGGAACAGTCTATACATATAAACAGCCAAATATAAAAAGCATTCACAAGTAATGCGCAAGTATAAAGAAGAAACAGTGTTGTACTCAAACGATTTAAGAACTTGATCAGACGCCAGAATTATTTGTTTCCGAGGTAAACATTTTTTTGATATAATTAACCAACGCGACATTTAATCCGTGTATTTATTTGTTTACGCAATATGCTAACAATGGTAGTCTGATGTAATGCTGATCCTGATAACAGATATTGTCCATAGGTGGGCAAGGATAAATCTGACAGTAAAACCTTTATCACGTATCGAAAAGGAAATAGATACTCTAGTAAGCTCTTGCCTACAGGAGAATTACCCAACCAAGAAATAGCTATGAATTGGATTCAGCCGCAGGTATGTCGATACGATTTACAATGTTAACACTGTCCATTTCTTATAATTTAGAGACTCAACCTCTTTTTTGAATTCGCGAGTTATTTACAGTTTATACGAGTTTTATTCAAGGGTTTACTCCTTTCTAATTAAATACGATATGCTTCCATGTCAATATGGTTGAGTTAACAGGATTCCGAAATAAAATTGCGCACGTTTACTATTAGCTAGCTGTCTTTGATCATTGAATATGTGAGGAAAATATAGAGTACATTATTTATTAGTTTATGAAACTGGTAATGAGTTTGATCTGAATAAATGAGTAGCTACATTCGAGTTGACGATAAAGCTTCATTGTCGATTTTGGCGCCGGCCGGATGATATGTGCTGTTTTCATACTCAAACCATGTAGTCGGCCAATACAGTGATCAGACATTGAGGTAGGTTAATGGTTGATGAACGCGATAGCCACTCACTTCATGACTATACGATAAAAAGCAGATCCCCACGTAATGCTCGAATCTTCCAACTGAAGAAAGGTTTTAGTTCTCACAGGAGTGTCAGAAACTTAGTTTATTCCATTGCCACTCCTTTCCAGATATTGCTGCATAGCCTTGACAGCCCGTAAGTAACGATGCAAATTTAACGGCATCCAACAGCGCAAATAAAACTTTGCACAACTGTATATGCCAAACACTGTTCTTGTTCATATTTACTATGGCGAAATAATGTTTAATTTGGTGTCCCATTCCTAACCTCTGGCCAGGAGTCTGAGCAAGTGCAACAATAAATAGTAACGCTCATAACGCGTTCACTGTTCTTGGGTTAAGGTCATTTCAATAGTTTGTTCAATATCACGAATCGAAACATTCTTTGGTCAACTGCTTGCCATTCTACTGTTTCTTTAATCGATATGTAAAAGTAATTGCTTGTATCAATCGCCCATCTGTTGCCCAAATAGACCGATAGTATTGATGCACTGTTTTAAGCATTCGGCGGACAACAAAGTGAGAAAATCTGTACGTATTAGCTGAAGACAAGGAAAGGCAGACGCCATTGTCTTGCACCGAACTAACACGTCAGCACACTTTCACTTCCGACACTTGGACGATCACTATTGCTCTGATCCATCTACGTGACCGGGACCAACTCGAATATCATAGCCCATCCAGTATCTTCTGTATTTCTACGCAGTAACCCTTATTCATTAACGCTACAGAAGCTTGCATTTGTATACGCTCGTCTTTTCTTTCCCAAAATAACGTCATCCAATTGATTGATGTGGTGACTAATCAGTACTCAATAGAACAATTATATTGGATTACTTATAGAATTACTAGTCCTTGAGCTAAACTGACAACGACCAACGCTCATATTGGATCTTCTCTTATTGACACATACAGTACAGTTGCGGAAGCCGCTGCTCCCTCTTTATGGAGAGTCGGTGAAGGAAATTTGATCGACTGAGAAAGTTACCCAGTTTTCGGAAGAATGAGCTCTGCAGGGAAAGCGAAAGCGTTGGACATAGAATATTCGAGTTATGATCTTAGAGCAAAGATTGTTAAAATATTATGAGTATTTTAAAAGTGATATGCACGAGTTGAGAAAGCCTGTAATGATTAGACAGACATACTTTGCTTTACATATTGACTGTCGAACTTGCAATTAAACTGGTTTATTTATATATGCTGTGGGTTACCAACCGATATGTTCGTGCTTTTCGGCATGATCGACTTGTATCGGAGTCGATTACTAATAATCTACTTTGGATAATTTTCCGCTGTTGTAGCCATTCCTCGTATTATACAAGGGCTGTCACAAATCCAATTCCTTAGAATAGTCAATACCTAAGGCAGCACTATCCAATTTAGTATCGGAATCATTACACAAAAAATAAAATGTGTACAAAAGCCCCCAATATACAGACCAAGGGTTGCGCCTGATTTGAAAAAATATATATACAAAGGAAGAAAAATTTCAAAAAGAAACTTCTTGGTACTAATTGACGACTTGACACCGGCCGCCTTTAAAAAGCGTATGCCCAATCTTACATGATAAAAAATTAATACATGAAATAAATTGTTGTTTATGTTGCCCCCCCCCCCCGAATATGGAGCCGCGTCTTTTTTGGGAAACTTCTCAGTAATGTAACCAGAAGATTGTATTTTGTTTCTCAGTCCTCCTTGAGCCCTGGTTCTATAAAATAAATAAAAATTAATAGTGTATCTTTTACCAATTTACTGATGCTGACTTGTAAAATACCTTCGAAGTAGGACTATCCTCCTCCGTATCCTCTCCATCTCTGTCTCTGTCTCCATATCTTCCCCTTCTTGACTAACTCGACCAATCATTCACGGAGCCTCAGCTCGAGGTGGGTGTGATCAATAAAGGACTCGAAACCTCAGCCCGAGGTGGCGGATTTATCGGCCGAAAAACTAACTCAACTCATTTCGGTTGCCACTTCACTTCTTTTGCAATTGCTCGGCTTCCAATTACGATTAATATCCCGATTGTGTTGGCGAATACGCCGCATGGACTTAGCGCACCGATTAGAAGCCATGGAAGTTTGTTATATAGTCAAAAGCAGTCCGAGTATAGAGCGAGTTGTCAAGTAGTGGGAAGAGCGAGATTATGTCGGGAAATTTTTCGAAATCGAGGAAATGATTCGTATGTAACTTCTAAATAGTATAATAGATATTACAATAGTCAGTTGGATTATTTCATAGTGAGATTATTTATTTCACTGAAAACGAGAAGATACCTTTTGCTGAAAAGATGTCGAATATCTGAATTAATAAATTACGGGTAATAACAACTTTCCCCGAACTTCTTTATTATTCTCCTTAATCTATCGGTACGGTACACGTTAATAATGGTAGTTGTGTTCCACATTTGTGTGGGGAAGGCGGAAAGTTCGAACTCTTCGTCGGTTGTGTGGTCGACAAATGCTTCGATCGTCTTCGTTCTTCACCATTGTAAGCTGAGTTACAGTACGGACTGCGAGTAAGAAAACAATGGGTATGCTGTGATTTCTTGCCTAATATTCCTCTCGGCGATCTATACTCGGCTATGACCATTTGTCTCAACAATAACAAGTTTGCAACGAAAAACAGGTTGATTCTCTTCGCTGTTTCTCATTTCCGCTGGGTTGATACATCCATTTTCCCATCTTGATCAGCGCCAACGCCCTCCTCGTCACTTTCTTCAATGTCTTTCTCTACGCCTTCTCTCTCCCCTCTCCTTTTCACACTGCCTCTTTCGGGTAAGCACCTTTCCTTTTAACAGCAAGGTGTTTAGAGCTACGAGTTATTTGTGCACGCACAACTTCGTACGTTGAGAAGAAAAAATTATTTTTATTGTACGTTACACGAGTATAGCGATCTGCAATAACATAATCATAATATTTACTCATATTAATATACAACAGGAATTAATGATCAATTGTACCAATATCTTGCCATTTAACACGCGAACACGCGTCTATGCATACTATATATATACCCAGGCGCTTCTTTATTGTGTACAGACATTGCTTATTGTGCATTCTCTGTAGTATATTCTCAAACGATGCAAGTTATTAATCCTAAGTTGCAGGAATTAATTAACTATCTGAACTATGGTGTTATGGATAAACACGTGTAAGATTCAATCCAGAATTATCAGAGGATACAATCGATGATTTCAATGGAGATGTAACGAAAAATGTAACACGCTGAAAAAGGTGTCAAAGTTTTATCAATTTTAACACAATATTCTCTACTGTGAGAATCAATGTTACCTTTGTTGTATGTCAGATTGGAATAGTAAAGACAACCAGGTAACAACATTATAAAATTATTTATTGGCATTACGATACCAACC